TTGGCGACGACTCTTAAACAGATGTTAGAATATTGGTATGATATTTATTTTCTATATTAGTTAAACATATTGGAAATGTTCATATAAATAACACAATATTTCCATTATCACTTTATTAACATTATCATACTTTATCATACTTTATCATATCTGTTATGAAAAGATTTGCAACAGGATTTAAGAGAGCCGTTTAAACATGTGAACATGCCGTTCTTTGATGCTTGGCTTTCAAATTATGAAGCCATGCACGATTCCTTACTTTGAACGTTCTTTTGATAATGACACTCTTGAAATTGAAACCTGGTTCGTTTATTATTGATCTGCTGAGGGAGCATCAAGCGTTAAAGGAGATCAGAAGTTTGAATAATCATCTGTTGTGCAATCAATGATGAACCAACAGAGACAAATTAAATACAGATACTTACAATACCTCCTGAAGGAAATGCTCATATGAAGGATAAGGTTCCTTTTTTTTTTTTTTTTTTTTTTTTTTTTTTGGAAAAATATCAAGATAACGTGTCAATTCAGTATTTTTTTTATTAAAGGTTTTCTCTATTTCATATTCATAAATATGTTTGTTAATTATGAAGGTTATTTCTTAAAATTTACTCGTCGGCCTTGAAGATTGTCTGTATTATCATATGTAAATAGCTTTTATTTAAGGTGATGCTTGATGTTTCAATAGATACCGTATATTGATGCCTTTCGATTTAACGGAAAAAGTGATAAAGCCAACGAAAATGAAAATGAACAAACTTTGATGCAGTTTACTCTGTGAAATTAAAAGGAATATTAATTTGAAGTAGGCCATTTAAAAATGATGGGATTGCACAATATAAAATATGTAATTTCTTTATTGGTAATAAAATTAACTTTAATATATTTTTTATTTTATTTTTTATTGAGTTTAAGAATTTAACTAAAAGTATTTATTATAAACAAATAGTATAATCATAAACTTGAAACTATCAAAATTTAATCATTAAGAATATTACAACTATAAAGGAGAGGAATTTATTTAGGGAGCAAAATCCGGAGAAAAATATTGAATTTTATTAAACGAGAATTTTTTTTTGAACAAAAAAAAAAAGAATTTTTGGAGGCTATCAGTGTGAAAAAGAGAATTGTCAATACAATGTTAGACAAGCATTCATATTAATAATATAATAATTTCAAGCAATAAATTAAAACCCACCAAATCATTTCTCCATTTTTCTTCTCTTATTAAGAAGAGAACGGCGGGCTTTCGACCATAGCCCGCCATATCAACTCGTAAGTTGTTCTTCACACTCTTGGAACCCTCGATCCGAATTGGTTTTACTTGCTTCGGATTCTTGATTTTTCGAATAGGGTTCCTTATTCTTTAATTTCTTTTCGTCCTTTTCCTTCTCGTTTTCTTTACGCGTATTTACGAGGACGGCTTCTTTCCAAGTTAATTTTAGAGTTGTCAAATGACAAGGAATATGTATGTAATTTTTAGTGACGTTTGGAATGTACATTTTTTTAAAAAATAATTTTGAGAATATTTTTGTTAAATTTTTTTTTGGTACCAAGAAGCGTTGCTTTTATATAAATCAAGGTGATGATGCATCATCGCGTGATAATCTTTTGTTTTTCTCCATTGTTTATATAGCATGACTGAAGTTTGATTTCACTGGTCGATCAACAAGGATTCTGATTGGCTGAATCGATTCGCGTAAGAAATCATTTCGTAATACAAATGGGGACCGCCACAGCAAAAGGGGGCGATAGGTCGACCAATCAGATTTTAAGATTTTGTTATGAGTTTTTGGAACGAAATAATTGTTTATTTTTTATTAAATATTTCATAAACTTTATTAAAACTATATAGCATATAAATTACATAAATTTTAAAAAATAAATATATAATAAGAAAGCCCATGTTCTCAACTTATTACTTATAAAAAAAAAAATTGAAGTCGTAAAGACAGTTTTTTAAAAAATCATTTTTTTTGGTGATGATCGGCAAAATTAATGACGAATAATAATAAACTGTGATTTTCTCAAAATCACGTGATCGACATATCGCCCCCCCTTTTGCTGTTCCCATATGTATTCTTATATAAAATCTTGTGTAATATTTGTGCGTAAATAGAATTTCAGTCATGCTTATTTATATTATATTATTTTTAATGTATTGATATTATTAGATTAAGCTATAAATAAACTATTATTATTGATATTTTTAAACGCTTTAGATTAAAAATATCGATAGATATTATTTTGGGAATACAGAATATGAATCTGGATTCCTATTTATGACGTTAAGTTCCAAGTTTAATGTTTCAGTTTACATAGTTGAATTAAATTAGCAGTGATAGTACCAATCCTCAAATTACTTGTGTAAAACTTACTAGCAAATGTTTTGCTCTGCTAATTGAACATCAAAATCTTCAATATACACAGTAAAATTCGATAAACCAGATCTTCGATAAACTGGATTTGAGCTTAAACTGGACTTTTTTGCTAGAACCAAATCACGTATATTAAAATAGTTTTGATATATCAGAGTTTACTAGTAAAATCTCGATATTCGCTATAACGGATCAATTTTCCAACCAGCTATAGTAAAAATGATTTGATAAACTGGAGCACGTGATTAAGTACTAATAAAATTGAAGTAACATAATTAGGTAAATTTTAACTTTTCCCAGAACTATAAAAATCTTAATTCCAGCTGAAGTTATTGACATAACTATATTTGATTAAAAATATTTTATATTCATTTTCATGATTTTTATCACATAATAATTAATGTGAATATTTTTAAAAATTCAGTATAATGGATTTTTAGTATATCAAAATTTTTTTGCTATATCAGATATCCCGATAAACCAGATATTTTTAGTGGAACTGATATCAAATTTTACCGTATAGTCAAGAATGCATAGCGTGTTGTAATCACGTCAAAAGTTCTACTTTCTGCAGTTTTTCCAAAAAAAGTAACATGTTTAAAAGAAGTATAAACGCGCAATTTTAGCATTTCAAAGCTGAAAAAAATTTTCAAAGACGTATATAGATCTTTATGAATACATCTTGATCATTATTTATGCCTGAAAAGAATATAAGCGAAACTCCTAAGAGAATTTAAAGAGGCAGAGCTTGTGAATGATCATGCTATAGAAGAATATATTTAAAATAACATTTAAACTTATTAGAAAATGTATCTAGAATTTAATTCCATTTGTTGTTCTTTGATAGTTCAATTTGTAATTAGGTGAATAATATCCTGTATTATTCAGAATAATCTATTTATGTAAATATTAATTTACATTTTATATTAAAA